TATTCAAAGAATGTATGTCCAACCCAAGCCTGAGCAGAACACAATAGCTTATACCAGGGTGGGGTTGTGAACAAGAAAATTAGTCCAATCTCATTATTCAGAAATGTCCTTCATGAGACTGAACATTTTAAAATCAGGACTTTGGAAGAAGGATGAGCTCTGAATCTCCCCAAATTATTGGTTATTAATGATCTTTCTCTCAGTTCCAAGTTAAGGTTTTTAACATGAATGTGTTTTTAAATATGTTCTATTCCCCCATTCACTCTAAACATTGTTAAGAATTGGGGGCAGCTAGGTGGTGCAGTGGATAGAGCATCAGCCCTGAAGTCAGGAGGCCCTGAGTTCAAACCCGGCCTCAACCAAACGCTTGACACTTACTAGCTGTGTGACCATGGGCAAGTCACTTAACCCCAATTGCCTAAAAAAAATAATAAAATAAAATATTATTAAGAATTCAGTATAGGGGCAGCTAGGCAGTGCAGCAGATAGAGTGCAACGTCTGGAGTCAAGAGGACCTGAGTTCAAATCCAGCCTCAGACACTTACTATGTGACCTTGGGCAAGTCATTTAATCCCAATTGCCTAAAAAAAAAAATTCATTGCGTACTGGAAAAACACTAGATTTAGCAGTAGAGTACCTGAATGTAAAATCTCAGCTTTGCATGACATAATAGAGCACTGGGCTCAGTGTCAGGAAGACAAGTTCAAATTCTACCTCAAATATTTCCTAGCTTTGTGATGCCAGGTAAGTAACTTAACCTCTCTGGGCTTCATTTCTTCATCTAGGAAATGAAGATTAATAGCTCCTATCTCATAGTGATATTATGAGGATCAAATGAGATATGATATATACAGCTTTGCAAACCTTAAAGCCTGTATAAATGTTAGCTAATTATTACCACCATCATTGTCATCATTATCATTACCTGTGTCAGTTTGGGATCTCAGTTTTCTCATCATTAAAATGATCTCTATGGTTCTTTCCAGTTCTGAATCCTCTGGTCCTGTAGAGCGGTAAAACATTGACTTTCAGTGTCTTTCTGAAGACTGCTGGGTCACCTGGCTATCTGGAATCACTTAAAATCACAGATCACAGGGTCTCAAACTTAACACTGGAAAGCACCTTCAAGGCCATCTGGTCCAATCCCCTCATTTTACAGATGAGAAAATGAGGACCAGACCAGTTGAAGAGCTGGCACTTAAAACATAAGCAGTGTAAATGACTTCCCTACCGTCATGCTGGGAATAAGAAGTCGGGTTGGGGATTTGAAGACAGGCCCCACATACTTTTCATCATACTTTATATATGGCTTCTCCATTCTCAACCACCTCTGAACTACAGGTACCAAAGTCCTGGAGTGCACACATTTATATTAAAAAAGCAGCAATGAAAGAGGCAGGATTTCAATTTTCTGACAGTGCTTTAATAGTGAGACATCATTTTCCTCTTCTTAAGATCACATTTATGCATGACAGAAGACTTTATACTAGGAAGTCATGAATTTCTATTTCTGTACTTTAGGCAAAACATGAACTTTCTCATATGACTTAGTTGGTAATAGTTTCTTTGAAAAACCATTTCAAACCAGCTCAAAAGATTATAACAATTCACCTGGATTTCCTGGCCTGTGACCTTGGCAAACAGCCTGAAAGAAAAGTTTTCACCTGGACTCACAAAGGTCTTGGGAGAAGGAAGGGTTGAGAAGAGGAAAAAGTATCTCCTTTATTTGTAATATTTTAAAACTCACAAGTTAAAAGCTTGACAATTTTAGTTCAGTAGAAAAGCTTGAATGTTATGAAATAGAAAGCACTGACTTTATAGGGACAGAAACGACCAGGGGAAAATTACAGCACAAATACATTAAATTACATCCCACTCATAAAATCAAATAGAGACTCCTGAGGGCTATTCTGTCTAGAACTAAGTGGAATGGGCATATGACTGGTGGTGATGTTTTTGAAGACAAAATGTACACCTACATTCTTTTGGCAGGCACCTCCTCCTATCTACTGTGACCCAGGCAATCCATTGCATAGGATTTAAGTACTTGTCATAGGTGAGTGTCAGGTGAATGTCAAAGGGTCATAGCTTTGGAGCTAGAAGGTAATTTAAAGGTGTTGGAGCCCAACACCCTCATTTTACAGATGAAGTAACAGACAGTTAGAACCTACTCTTCCCTGAGACCCCTTCGCTTAGTCTTCATTTCAGCCCTGCTGCAGGGGAACAAAACTTGTATCAGTGCATTTCCAACTCTGCAGATCTCCATCTAGGAAGGCAGCTTAAACTAACTGATTAATGATCATTAATAGGAATAAGAATAACCATCCCATTCGATGAAAAAGAGGATGTGCCCATGGGAAAAGGATTCTTTAAAGGTTTTATTTAGTCAAGTCATGCGGACCATTCCATTTCTCCTGGTAAATAAGACAGTAACATTGACTTGTCATTCTTGTTGACTAGTCATAGCAGGTCATTTGGTATCAGGAAGACAGGTGTCACATTCAGAACCCAGCTCTAAGAGCAGTAGTCTTAGAAGCAAGATTTGGAGGCAGCATCTAAATCTATGGATTTAGTGTTAAAATATTTCCATTCCCTTCTACTTTGAAAAACTTACCAGCTTTTGGTAATAGTTCTGTTTTACTGACCAAGAAAGACAATGTTATGCTAGCCCTCTTAACAAATATATAAAAATTGTAACATATATGTATATATATATATGTATATATATATATTATTATATATATATATATATATATATATACACAGAGAGAGAGAGTATATGTGAGAGAGCACAAGACCTATGTGTGATTTGATTAAATCATCCCAAGTGACAAGTGAACACACTCTGATAACTCCAACTTTATCACCATTAAATGAAAAGTATTGGAGAAAAACGTTCTTTTCATGATCTAATCCACAGGTTCCCAAAGTGGGTGATGACCACCCCCTGCGGGGCACTAGAACAATCCAGCGGGGTGGTAGTAGCCTCAGGTGCAATTGGGGGGCATTGAATAAAAATAAGAGGGCAGTAGAAACATAAGGAAAGAAGAGAAGATAAAGAAAATTTTGAAAAACCATTGGCACATGTTTCATCTCTTGTGTAACAGAGTTAAAGTTGTAGTGATTACATTATTTTCCAAACAAACACCAAAATGCAAGTTATAACCAATCAGTGGTCAAGTCCACTGACAGGTCTTAACAAGCAAGTATTGGCAAGCGAGAGTGTAGTGCATTGTCAAGAAGTCCAGTACACAAGGGCAGGAATATGCGTGTGTAATGACCTGTTTACAATATGATATTATATGGTTACATGATGCAATATTATGTCATCAAAATTTCAATGCAGGAAAAACCCCCAAATTTACAATAAATTATTCAATTTAAGATGTGTCATTTTAAAAAATATTTTTATATTTTCAATTTCAAAAAAACTGCTAAAGGTTTAAAGAAAGTAGATTTTCAGGGGGGCACTAAGTAATTTTTTTCTTTTAAAAGAGGGCAGCAGACCAAATAAGTTTGGGAACCTCTGATCTAGGCAATAAAAAACCAACCCTCTTCCACATAAACAGTTCTTATACTTCTACGACGCCTTCCTACTATGCAATGGATGCTGACGCTTCAGTGGGAATTACCTCAGGAGTAATCTGTTTACTTTAGTCTTTGGGGGACAATGCAAGGACAGGTGTCCAAATGTCCTATGAAAGACCTTCTCATTATCTTGAGGCTTAGGGTGAAAACTGCTATTTCTCTATACCTGGTTTCACTTAAGAGTGAGAATATCAAAATGGCTTTGGTTCCATTCCTGTGGCAGGGTATCAGCTAGGTCTTTGGACTAATATCACACAGAGCACTCCAAAACTCCAATGTGAATACCTCCTCCACTAATGCAGATCTCAATCCATCCATGGATGTCCATCTTGTATGGCTCTTATCTGTGTCCTCCCATAAAGTCTCCATAGGGAGGGAGACACAGGATATGGTGGGGGCCTTCATCTTATTCAATTAACATCCCAAGAATACTAATGGAGCACATGAACTGTCTGTCCACCATCACTCGCCTCTTGCTCTCAACCATCTTATTTTTCAATTATACACAGGGAATACCAATGAATAACTTAACATTAATAGATGGTATAAAAATTGTGTGCCTCATCAAAACTTTTGCCTCCTTTTTCTGACAGAAGAAAAAGGGAGGGGGCCAGGTGGGAGAGAAGGCCATTTTATCTCTTAATCCATTCATGAATTGCCATTGCCCCTTCTCTGCAGCTCCCTTCCCTCATCCTCCTCCCTAAATCATCACCTAACAACCAACATGCTATGATGGGAATGAATTTATCTGCTAAGTTTGTCCTTTAAGTATACAAACACACAGAGCCCACCTCTACATCCATTCTTGAGGCCTTTCTGACTTTGTAGGACCAATCAGAACATGCTATTTGGTGGCCTCCATTTTAAGAACACAGAGTGACTTCCACATCACGATGAGGTATGCAATTAAGTTAGTATGATTTTTATAAATTCAATTATAGTCAAGACCAAGTTATCTAAGACTCTTTGCCGCTCTGTTTTTGTTCCTTTAGTTGTCTACCTCTAAGGTATGGTATAAGCCCCTTGTCCTTCCCCTGGGGGATGATTTGAAAAAGGCATTGGAAGCTAGATTTAAAAAGGATCCAAAGGTCATAGATTTAAAAAAGGAAACAGACTTTATAGAGGTCATCTTGGCCAACCCCCTCATTTTACAGATAAGGAATCTGAGGTCCAGAAGAGGTAACACGATTTTCCCAACTAATATCACAAATCTGCTAAGTGGTAGAACCAGAATTAGAAGCCTCAGGAAATCAGGGGCACTGACTTTAAATGCAGCATCATTTCCATGTCTTCTACACACATGTTTCTCCCCCCCCCCAATTTTACCATTTATCAGCTCAAAGGTTACGAGGAGATGACTGAAAGCAACCATCTGGGTGCAGCCGAAGAAAACCACAAGAAAGACAAAAAGGTCAGCTGAGAAAAGCAGCTTGTATTTTTCCATTAGATCATCAGGGCCCACCTCTCACTGATTAGTCTCGTTTTCACAACATTTCTCTTACCCCAGGCAAGACTGTGTCTCTAAGAGAATTTAAAACCTTCGGTAAGCGTCTAGGACCTCCTGGGCTGAAGGCCTTTCCTCTGGATTCTTCTTCTTACACGCCTGGTGGATCTCAAACAAATGGAATCTGACAACATCACTCCCTTCCACATGCCCCAAAAGGAAGCTGGTGACATCGGGTATTTTCCAGATGTCTGTCTTCTCATCATATGGTGGCATACGCTCATCATCAAACGGTGTTTCCTCTCCATAAGGCCACAGTTGCTCAGGGGCTACAAATTCTCCCACAAGTTCCCTGTGGCCGCATTTGATCAGGGTCCCATTACTCTTGTGGACAACAGGCAGGGCGTCCAGGTCATTTGCCACAATATGAAAATTGCTTGCCAACAGGTACTGAGAAAGCATTTTGTCTAAGTCATTTGAGTCACACATCACCAACGTACCCAGGGGACTGGTATGTAAATAGTTAATGATACTTACATAGTTAATTGCCAGTTTCAATCTGTGATGCCAGGTGTTCAGGCTTTGATATTTAGGGAGGTTTAATGTTTCTTCCAGAGTCTTCAAAGTACCCAAGGGATGATATTCGGTAAGAAGAGTGCCGTCATCTTCACAGCAGCCAATCAGCAAGACCACGTGTTCACTCTGTAAGGCCTTGAGCATCTTCACGCCGTGGAGGAAATCTTCTTTCATCTCTGGACTGGTGAGCTGGGAAAGAGCAACTTTCTGTTCCTTCCATTCGGAAAGGAAGACCTGAAACCGAGCAAAAAATGAACATCACACCTAAAACTTTTGTCCATGTGTAAGTAAGGTGGATTTTTGTTATTCTTTTTAAGGTAACGGGTTCCCCGGATCCACGGCCATAACAACCTCTAGTTCCCAGGCTCACGGCCTGTAAGCATCTCCACCACACTTGCACAGCATTATACAATGATAACTTAATATAAACATTTGTGCTGTGACTGCACAGTGAGATATAACGATGACATGATGTAAACTTATAAGGCTATTCCTGGCAAATTGCCTTCTTTGTCTATTACCCTATAAGTCAAGTGGACACTGGTCAGTAAGTGGAGATTTGGGAAACGCATAGGGAAATGCATGTGTGTCTGCCTCAACCAGCTCCCATCAAGGCTTGGGGGGATTTATGAATGTGTGTGCTTATCTCGACTGGCCCCCACCAAGATTCAGGGGAATCTGTAGGAGTTGTGCTCCTATATTCTCGCCAGCCCCTGCTAGAAGAGTAATTAGGGGAGCTGTAAGAGTTGGTGTTCCCATTATCAGCAACTCCTCTTGAGAAGACCAGAATAGAATAAAGTAAGCTAATTATTTAACCCCTCAATATGTTTCCCCTCCTGTCCGCCAGGATCAAGAGTAAACTTGCTAGAGAGAGTAGAAGAAAAGTTCCTGCTCCAACTCCTGTGATACATTACATTAATGAGCAGAGAAACATGCTCACCAGGGACGGAGGAGGCAATGGGACACAGAAATACCATTCATAAATTTCTAAGTGAGGCACAGAAGGCTGTAACTAAGTCTTGGTTAACCATTCCCTTGGAGGGCGATTCATTCAACAAATGTCTAGTAAGTACCTACTGTGTGGCACACCCCGTTGTGTGGGGTGCTGGGGATGATCAGAGAAAAATCAAACAGTTCCCTGCCCTCCGGAGTGGACATTCAAATTTGAAAATAACAGTCCCATTCTGAGAATGTAACTCACCCTTTTCACAGCTCCTTCCCCAACACGTTTCAGCTTCCTGACTGCTGTTCTCAGGGATTCACAGGATAGCCAAGGGGAACAATTTTTCATTTGTCCCATACGGAAGGTACCAAAGGGACATGGACGGGCCTCCACACCAGAGGGCAGAGGAGAAACAAAAACATGATCAAGGTAGAGATAGAGGAGGATGTTCATAAGGACCATGACAAGCAGCAGCAGCGCGGCTGGTGGGATGGGGATTTCTCTTTGGGAAGAACCTCTTTTACTCCCCTGCAGTTTCTTTTCCATGTTGCTATCTTCCATGCTTCCCTAAAAAACAAAAAAGAACCAAAAAATAGTAGTGTGGTCAACTTTGTATTGTTTCCCTATCATGACAGTACAGATTGAAAAGACTGCTTCATAGGCTTTAAGCTGCCACAGGATGCACTGTATTCAAATAAAAATTATACTGAGTTAGCATTTCTAGAGTTGCCTTAATGTCTGCAAAGCGCCTTACTTAGGTTATCTCATTTGGCCTTCACACACCCCTGTGGGGTAAGTGTTATATAATAATAACATATAACAGTAATTGAGATAATACTCAATTTTACACATGAAGAAACTGAGGCTGAGAGAGTTTAAGTGATTTGTCTGGGTCACCCTGTCATCGAGCCTCTGAAATTCAATTTGAACTTAGGTCTTTTTGACTCCCAAGAGTAGTCCTCTGGCCATCTGTCTGCTCTACTACATTGTCTCTCAAAATTAAACCTGTCATTCCAGCCTTCAAGAGGCTTAACAGCTAATATGGATATACATTCCTAGGAATGCGCTGAGAATATAGCTTCATCTGCCAAGATGGGTATGCAGAGCTCCAGTCCTTAGAGGTAATCTGAGGTAATCTGTTTATATATACCAAGTACCTATGGTAAACAAGATGGACAGCTAGGTGGCACAGTGGATACAGTGCAGGGCCTGGAGGCAGGAAGACTCATCGTCCTGAATTTACATCTGGCCTCAGATACTTACTAGCTGTGTGACCCTGGACAAGTCACTTAACCCTGTTTGCCTTAATTTCCTGATCTGTAAAATGATCTGGAGAAGGAAAGGGCTGACCACTCCATTATCTTTTGCCAAGAAAACCCCAAATGGGGTCACAAAGAGAAACTTGAATGAAGCATCTCAACAACAAAATGATCCTTTTATCCTACAGAAATGTAAACAATTACCTTTGTATCCTCAGCACCTGTACACAACACCTACTTAATAAATATTTGTGGAAGTAGTTTAATGCCCTGTTACTATTAACTAGGGTTATGTTTCTTTTCTTATTCGTTTTTCCTCCTAGTCAAAATATTCTGTTTCATCATATTTAATAAAATATTATAATATATAAATAAAACATTCTGTTCTGTCATATTAAATATATAAATAAACATAACTAAAATTAAATAAATAAAAAGATGTAAATAAAATATTCTGTTCTATTATATTAAATCAATCAAGAAGCATTCATGAAACACCTACAATGTGTCAGGTATTGTGCTGGGCTCTGGAATATAAAGACAAGAAATGAAACAATCCCTACTGGCAAGGAGCTTACATTCTACGAAGGAGATGAGTGTGCATATAACTATGTATAGGATTAATAAATATAAAGTTATTACGGACAAGATAATTCAGGAGGAAGGGAGGAAGCTAGCAGTTGGGGCATGGTCAAGTTAACCATAAACAGTACGGAAATTGAGTGCATTCTTTCATACACGATCTGTACACGGCCTTAATCACTACATGCAATTTTTCTTAGCACATTCCATCCAAAAGCAATCATTTCAATACATAATTTTTTCCCTGTCATTGGCCTCAGGGAAATCTATGCTTTCTTCTGCCAACAAAAAACCTGAGCATAGGATGGGAAAGGCTTCCCCAGTACATAAACGAGCCTGGTCACAAGCTAGGGTCACCCTAACCACTACATGGCTGCTGATCTGGTGAAGCCTCCAAAAGCAACATCTCCCAGCGATAACACTAAATATACACTCCAAAGACATTTTTTTAAAAAGGGGAAAGATTTATGTAAAAAGCACTTAGCACAGTTTCTGGTACATAGCAGGCATTACATATAAGTGCTTATTCCCTTCCCTCATTTATTAAGTCCCTAAGAAGTCTCAGGAACTAATGCCAAGCACTGGGGAAACAAAGAAAGGCAACCCCCCCCCCCAAAAAAACCCAACAGTCCCTGTTCTCAAGGAACTTACAGTCTAATGGGGGAGACAACACAGACACACAATTAGGTTCAAATAAGATAGATACAGGATAAAGTGGAGATAATCACAGAAAGAAGGCACTAAGATTAAGGAGGACTGATGAAGGCTTCTTGCAGAAGGTGAGACTTTTGGGAAGCCATGAGACAGAGATGAGGACAGAGAGGATTCTAGGCTAGTGACGATGCCCAGAGCCAGGAGATGGAGGGTCTTCAGTGAGGAGCGGCAAAGAGGCCAATGTCAGTGGATTGGGGAGAACATTTTTAAAAACTAACAGAACAGGTGGAAGTTCTGAGGGGAACACAAACAAACAGGACAGCTTTAAAACTAAGGAATTTCTCAAATGATTAAAAAAGAGGCAGGCTCTTGGGAGGAGGAAATCAGTCTCAAATGCAATCCCCCTCTTTTCTCTTCTTTGAATGTAGGAATGCCCATTATGGTAACTGGTATTTGGTAAGTACAGAATAACAAAAAACCTTTAAAAATTGTCTTAAAACAAAAGCCACGTCTCTTCATCACCTCTCTCAAGCACAGGGCCCCTTTGTTTAAGTTGCAAGGATATCCACACATCCTCAAACTCTTATTATGTAGTTTTAATCAACGTTCTAGGGTTGGAGGCCACATCTTTCACTTGCTTACAGTTGAACACAAGTAGGACTCAGAAAGACATGAAGGTGACTGCCTCTGGTCTTAGAACCTTGACCAATGCCATTTACTTCTAAAGCCCTGGTAGCCCTAGAATAAGTTCATTAGTATGGTTTGAGAGACCTAAAATGGTCTTCTACATCCTAAGAAGAGTACCAAAGTTCTTTATCCTTGAGTTTCTTTTCTTAATTGATAAATTTTGCTTAAACAAATCAGTCCCTACTTCAGTTTCCTGCTACCTTGCAAGCAACTGTAACCTCTACCAAGTTAAGGACAGGTTTCTGAATTTAGGCACTTTGCTCATTTGTCTAAGTCTACCCCACATCTATGACAGATGTTTGCTCCTGGGAGGCAATCCCAAACATTAGTCTCTTGTGTTCTGAAATTCCCATTCTCCTATTTCAAGGAGATTCGGATAAGGGGTCTATGGCCTGCTGGGTCACTACCCTCTCATACAGGGCCCGTACTGGGTCAGTCGAGCTTGTTTTCCTTAAAGACTCTCTTTGGATACTTGATAGATTTTATCAACTCTGGCGAGCTATCAGGGGTCATTTCTATTTTCACCCAACTTGAGTTTCCAAAATATTAGCATATCATTTGGAACTGTGCTCCAAAAGTCACTCAACAGTGATGCCATTACCAAGTCTATGCCCCTTAAAAAGCCCAAAGAAAGAGAAAAAGAACCCATATATAGAAAAAATATTTATAGTAACTCTTTTGTAGAGCAAAGAACTAGAAACTAAGAGGGGGCCCATGTGTAAACAAAGTGTAATATATGAAGATAACGGATTACTGTTACATTAGAAGTGGTGAAAGGGATGGGTTCAGAGAAACTTGGGAAGACTTGTATGAACTGATGTAGAGCAAAGTGAACAGAAACAAAAGAAAAATGTATACCACAAAAAACGATGTAAACAACTTGGTGTATAATGAAGTGCATACAATAAAAACAACAATGTAAACATCTTTGAAAAACTTAAGAATTCTGATGAAATGACCAACCATGATTCCAGGGGACCACTGATGAAGCTTGTTAACCACTTCCTGACACAAAGATAAAATATTCAAGACACAGAATAAGACATATGTCTTGTCATGGATGATGTGGTTATTTGTTTTGCTTACCTATGTATATTTGTTACAAAGGTTCTGTTTTTCTTTTCTTTTAAATCAGGGGAATGTAAAGGAGAAGAAAAATGCTTACTAATTAAAAAATAAAAATTTTAAAAATAACAATGCATCAAAAAAAGGTATCACTGATCCCATGAGCATGTTTTTGTTGCTGTTAAGTTGTTTCTCAGTCTTGTCTGACTCTTCATGACCTCATTTGGGGTTTTCTTGGCAAAGATACTGGAGTAGTTTGGCATTTCCTTCTCCAGCTTATTTTACAGATGAGGAACTGAGGCAAACAGGGTGAAGTGACTTGCCCAGGGTCACACTGCTAGTTAAGTGTCTGAGGTCCAATTTGAACTCAGGAAGTTGAGTCTTCCTGACTCCAGGTCCAACACTCTAACCACTGCACCACCTAGCTGTATTTTCTGTGGTTATTCACATCTTTCCTAAGTCTATTTCCTTTGGTTCAGTTTTCTTCTGTTTTATTTATTTTTTTTTAATTTTTAAAGAGAGCTGTGGAATTTGGCTTAGGAAATCCGGGATGGGGGTGGAGGGCAGTAACCTAAGGCTGCTGCCCCTTTAGCTACCTGTCCCCAGTAACATCTTTTCCTCCATTTAACTCCCCGCCCCTTAACAGCTTCCAATGAGCCACTTCTCCCACATCAGCCTAGCTAACCAAAGAGCTGGGGGTGCAGGGAATGACAACCAGCCCCTCTCAGCCCTGTGAATCAGGATGCTCCCCACCTGCAGGCAGGAGGCAACACCTGCTAAACCCAGTCCACCCTGTTGAGACTTGATAGGTGGGGCCATACTGGCCACCCTGGGCCCAGAGGATTGAGAGACCTCTTGGAACCTTGTTTCTAGTTGTTATGTTTCCCCCGGAGTGAGCCAAGTTCCCCTTGGGTGTGCTCAAGAAAGAGGAGTAGGGGAGGGAGGGAGAGATGCCATATATCCTGCAGTTATGCCTCGCTGGAGTAGCTGGACAGCTCCCTGAACTCCCACCCTTCTTTGTGAGTCCCCAAGTCAACATATTAAGCATTTTACAAACTGTATTTTAAATAAATATTTTAAAGTTGTAAAAAAAAAAAAGCATATGTACTATGGCTTAATCCCTCCACAGTTAGTCATCTCATCACCACCTGCAGTGGGATTCTCTCCAATTCCCTTACAGAGTTTGAGTTTTTTGTCGTGTTTTTTTTCCCACCCTCTTCTTGCTAAGTGGATAACACAACTGATAAGTCTTCACCGTTTGGCACATCCCAAAAGACACAGTTGGGCTCTTCCTGGCAACACTGTACAAAAAACAAGTCTTCAAGGTGCACTTCCTATGCAATGCTGTATTCATGTCATGCTGTACTCATGAGCATCTCCAAAGAGCCTCTTCATCCCATCTGTGGGCATTTGGCATAGGTCATTCCAGCAGTCTGTGCCAGGAAGGTTTTAAATTCTTCTTCCTCAGGTAGGGCCAGTCTCACTTTATAATTGTGGGCTCTTCTTAACAGGAACAGTGTCCTCTTCAGACGGGACCTCACCAGTACTTTGAATAAAGCTGGTAAACAACGAATGTTGTCAGAGGAATCCACGAGACCCATTGGTTTCTCCAAGACCTTGAACCCAAAAGACACACTATTGATGGTGAAGGAAGGAATTGATGGTGAACTGCCTTCTCTGAGCAGGTTTTTAAAAAATCTAAACGACTCATAAAATTCAAATGCAGTTTTCTTGAGCTAAGGAGCAAAGAGCACTAAGCTTTCCCAATACTTAGTGGAAAGTGGTGTCACATGAGACTTGGAAGAAAAGAACACAAACACCGGGGGGTTGGTTATTTGTGGAGAAGGTCACCAAACCTTTAAATGCATCTCAGTGATAAAGTCCATCCTTTGAGAGGTGGTAAATGATGAAGGAGATTTTTTTTTAAGCTTTCTGGCATTATACATATGAAGCCATGCCAAAACAAAACAAAACATACCTCCACGTTAGCCATGTTGCAAAAAAAAAGCAAGAAAAATAAAGAAATTTTAAAAAAATATGCTTCAATCTGCAAACAGAGTTCTGACGAAAGAGATACTGAGCAGGGAAAAGGGCTGGGAGTGCCCTTGGAGTTATTGACCCTGAAAGATAAGTTTTAGATTAGGGACCACGGACTGACTGTAGCACTGGAGGGAAGAAAAAAATCTAGTTGCTTCATACACATTTAAAGTTCATTCATGAAGCCCAGGGCAAGTATTTACGAAAAAAAACCATTAAATGATAATTTACACTAAAGTTTAAGAGCAGGCCATCTAATTTGGGGGTAGGAGGGGAAGTTATGGGGGAAACGTAGTATTATTACGAAGTCAAGACACAATTACATATAGTAATCATTGTATAGGTTGTCTCTACCTCAAAAAACAAAAGCTTCTTGATGGCAGCGGTTTTATTTTTTGTTTTTTATCACTAGCTACATGGCACAGTGGGTAGAGCACCAGGTCTTGAGGCAGAAGACCTGAGTTCAAATCCAGCTGTAGACATTTACTAACTGTATGACCCTAGGCAAGTCACTTAACATCTCTTTGCCTCAGTTTTCCCATTTGTAAAATGGGGATAATAATAGCACTTACACCTCACAGGGTTATTGTGAGGATCAAATAAGATAATTATAAAGAACTTGAGCTAAGGGGGCTATTAGCTAAGGTATATAAATGTTAGCTATTATTATGAGCTACTCATTAGCTGGCTAGCTTAGGGACATAATAGACACATAATAAATGCCTGTTGATTGAATTACATAAGCATTAAAAACAACATACTAAGATAATATTGTTTATATAACAAACTGATAAGAAACTTAGAAATAAATCCTACTGTTTGGGAGGTGGAGGGCTCTGGGTGTTGAATGCTCCCCATGTACCTGACAATGTAGATATGTATATTGGTTTGCTTAACTGTTCCTGGTTTTTTTTTTCTTCGCTACAAGGGAAAGCTCAAGGTAAAGGGGCAAGAGGATATATTAAAATAAATAAAATTGGGGGCAGCTAGGTGGTGAAGTAGACAGAGCACCAGCCCTGAAGTCAGGAGTACCTGAGGAGCACTGGCCCTGGATTCAAGAGGACCTGAGTTCAAGTCTGGCCTCAGACACATAACACTTACTAGCTATGTGACTCTGGGCAAGTCACTTAACCCCACTTTCCTCGAAAAACAAAAGTCTTTAAAAAAGAAATAAAATTGATTAAAAATAAAAAGCATAAAAACTTTCAAAAAAATGAATATTATTATGCTTACTATATTACAGCCTTATTTTAAATATTCTGGCATAGTATGGTGTAAACTGTAAGAGGGTGATTTCTTAACAAGTTGAAATGAATGAATTAAAAAGCATTTATTAAGTTCTTACTACTTGCCAAGTGCAGGGGATACAAATAGAAAAAACAGTCCCTGGCCACAAGGAGTTCAGATACTAATTAGAGGAAACCACATATAGAGAAGGAAGGTTCACCAGCTTCCTGAAGAGATTAAGATCACTAAACCCTATTTAAAAATAAAGTCTCTGACGAAGAATCTATGAGGAAAGGCACCCAAGTAAATCTAACCCTAAGCCATTTAGTAGAAACTGTTCTCTAACCTACATTTCCAGGGGCACCAGCTATTTACTCTCTCTCTTTCACACTCTGCAAACCAGCCAAACTAGCCCATTTCTCAGCACAGAGCCCAGCACTTAGTGCCTGGTAAATAGCAGGTGCTTAAGGTTTGTTGATTGATTGATTGATTGATTGATTCTCTCTGTTCCTCATACACAATTCTCCATTTCCAAACTCCATGCCTTTGCACTGGCCATCCTCGAAGTGTGGGATGCACTTCTTCCTTATCTCCCACTCAGAGAATCCCTGTCTTCCTCAGTTCAGGCAACACGTTCTGCATGAAGCTTCTCCGGACTCCCCCTTGATCTGCCGTTGCCTTCCCTCTCAAACTACTTAGTACTAAACTATGCATATGTTGGAGTTGACATTTGTGCTGTGTGTATATGTGTATAGATGTACACACAGCACAAATACAAATACCAATTGGTATTTATATGGCAATTATTTGTATTTATGTAGCAATTGATATACCAAATTATACACACACGTGCATATATGTATATGAGATAATAATTGTAAGGAACTTAGCACAGTGCCTGGAACATATATAAATGTAAGCTATTATTGGCCATCATCAGCTGATTAGCACAGCGGCACACAACAGGCACTTAATAAATGCTTGTTGATTAAATTATATAAGCATAAAACTAACATGCTAAGATAAGTCTGACATATTATAATAGATAATATAATATGCATTTATATTTCTATGTGCTTGTTTCTCTCCATTAGAATATAAGCGCCCTTCCAGCTCGAGAGATTGTTTCAGTCTTTGTACTTGTATCCCCTGAGCCCAGCCTGCGCCTGACACCTTGTGAAAGCGCTTTGATAAATTAGTAATTGATTGATGACTGACTCTCTCTTCCTCTCCCCTCCCCTGCCGACCCTTTCCCCGCCCATCTCCTCTAGTTCTCTCCACTCATGCGTCTCACCTGTCATTTCGGATCAAAGCGTTTTCACCAAGCAGGTAAAAAAATTAGGAGGAACGCCTCTCCCTCCCTCAAGGTAGCATCACAAACGCATATTAACCTCTCCGTTGCGCTCATCCCCAGGGAGCCAGAGCACTAGCAGATTAGGGGGAGCGCTGGGCGCGCGCTCTGCAAAGCGAGGCAGCCCGGCGCATCCCAGCGCAGCGCCCGCACAGCGGTGCCTGGTGCTGGGCCCCTGCAAAAAAGTGCTCCTGCTGCTGCCCCTGCTGCTGCTGCTGCTGACGCTGCCGCCGCCGCCGCCGATCCTGCAGCCACCACCTGACACGCAGCATCAACCCTGAGCCGCCTACTCTGAGTCTCCGCCTCTCCACCAAAAGTCAACCCTTCCCGATTTTAACCACCAGGCTATTTGGCTACGGAGGCACCCCCGTGCTCTCCGAATTCCAATTCGCCTGGAAATCTCCCTCAACCTTCCGGAAACTCCGGGCTTCCGGACACACTCTCACATCTTTGCAGATTACCCGGAAACCCTCCTCCATGTGACCTAACTTTTAGCTTGGACTGAAAACGCGAGGTCCCTCTACTGTCCTAAACTGGGTAGGCCGCCTCAAAACCAGCTGTTTTAAGTCCTAGGTTTTAATAGGAGACCCGGGGAATAGAGTATTACTTACAGTCCTCCTTCAGGGGTCTTGTGGTATGCAACGAAAATGAAAAAGGGAGCAAGGCCAGAATTTGACCCTATTTCTAGACCTCAATTCTAATTGAAATGCATTATTGATAGTAACAAAGTTGCTTTCATCTTAAACTGTTTCCTTTCTTACTCCTTCACTCATCTTTTGCACACTGAGAATGGACTCGCTCCTGATAATCTGGCAATTTCTGGCCACCCTTTCCAGCCGTGGTCGAATTTTCCACCTTACCCACTCTCCTCCCCTCACTGATACTGAGGAAGAGAATGAAAAGATTCCTTCCTCATCGCCACTTCCAGACTGGAGAGCTCCCTCTACCACCTTTACTCAGACACCTTCTCCTTTGAGGGTCATTCAACTGATATTTAGTATCCAATTGAGATTCTCGTAGCTATAATTCTACTGGCCCCTAGGACATTCTCCTTTTCAACTCCTCTCCTCCTCAATGCCTGCCTTCTTAGAAGGAGACCGTTACACGTATATTAATATTCCATCAAACGATCTACCTTCTCATTTTCCCTGACCTACTCCTCCACTCTCTCTCAGCCACACCAAGAGATAATCTGAAATTACTTTATCTGATCATAATCTTTTCTTATTCCATCCTTACCGCTGCCTTTCCACACCTAACCCTATTCTTTCACACCCTTAATCCTTCCATACTGCATTTCTTTGCCAGGTCATCACTCCTGCACTGGCTACACTCTCCTCCTTTCCCTATCTTCACATCTTTGGTGAACCAATTCAACCCTACACTATCCTCTTCTCTTTAGTCCCTTGTTCTCTTATCTGATTATTGATCACGCATCGTATGACCTTAGATTACTCCCGCCGTCCACCACCTTCACTCCAGTTCATATGATGTTAGATGGAGATAGAAAAAACCCACAAAACTATGCTAACTGTGTCCACTACAAATTTATTTAACTTAATCTCAACCGGGCCTTCACTGCCTCGGGGTAATTATTTTATACCTCCCTATTCAATTCACTGAGACAGTGAGGTGGCGCAGTGGATAGAGCACTGGGCTTAGAATCAGGAAAATTCATCTTAATGAATTCTAATCTGGCCTTAGAAACTAGCTGTGTGACCCTCAGCAGGTCACTTAAACCTCTTTTCCTCATCTGGAAAAGGAAATGACAAACCACTCCAGTATCTTTGCCAAGAAAACCTCAAAATGAGGTTTGAAATTGTTGTACCGAGAAATCAGCGAGTGAGATCCAGGCGTAATTTAAGATGTGGATTTATTAGCACGTGGCTGCAGGGGTATTTACATCCAAATCAAGCAGCCCCCATCAGGGGTTGAGCTAGGGTTTATATAGAAAAGAGCATGGGAAAGAAATGCGAGAAACATTGATGAGGTAATCCAAAGACGCAGGTGTCTTTGGGGGCTATGGATGGGAAAGTACAGGGAGTATACAGGACAGGGAGGGGGATGGATCTTTGAAGTCTGGCAAGAGGAAGAGTTCTTGGGCTGGTCAAGGACACCTCTCTCCCTCTGTCTTGATGAGAGAATGCTCTGCAACAAGGGAAAGCTTTCTCACAACACAGGAACTTGCTGAGGAATTGGGAGGCTTCCAGAGACATGATCTGAGGGCTGGGGCCTGAGCAGCCCAGCTCTGTGTAGCTGTACCAGGGAGAGAGATAAGGGTCACGCTGAGGCCCATGCATGAATAACTGCTAGGCACAGTGTCCTTGGGCTGGGGAGTGGTTGTTAGAGACAGTGTTTCTGAGACTAGGGAGAAATTGGGGCACAAGTACAAGCACAAGCACCTAAGCACCCCATTATTACGGATCAGAGATCACACAACCCAGACCAGGTGTCCTGGTCTCTGGTATAAACATAATTATCTAAAGCAATTATATTGCAAGCTTTCTTATCCATTTGTGTTGGAGGTACCAGCTATGCTGAGCTATGCGAGAGTATATTTCACTATTGTTTAGATTTAGGAGGAAAGAGGTCTGGGGCAAAATTAAGCACCAACTTTTGCTTTCCATGGCTTAAAGGACCCTACTACCTAAATGGCAAAATAATGTTCTATATTACAAAATGAAGAGTCTGAAATGACTGAACAACAAATTCAATTCACTATCCCACTCATTACAGCAGCTTTTCCAAACTTTTCATATCTTAAATCTCCCATGACTCCCTCTCCTCTCACCTCAGCTAAGAACCTCATTTAATATTTCATTGACAAAATTGAGGCCATTGACTGAGTACTCCCTCCTCTTTCCTCCTCATCTTGCATCACTCAGTCCTCTACAACCCCCTCCTCCTTCACTTATCATTGTCTCACATGAAAAGGCAAACCCCTCTACATGCACAAGTAAGCCCATTCCACATTACCTTCTCTAGTAGATTTCCCCCATTCTATCACTTATCTGTAGTCTCTCCCTATTGGCTGCTTCCCTAATGCCTAAAAACACACCCATACTAAAAAAAATCTTCACCTGATACATCATCCCTGCTAGGACCATCCTATATATCTCCTCTCTTTCTTTCTAAACTCCTTGAGATAGATGACTTCCATCAATGCTTCTACTTCCTTTCTTCTCACTCTTCTAAACTCTCTTTAGTCTGGCTTCTGACCTCATCATTCAACTGAAACTGCTCTGTCCAAAGTTACCAATGATCTCTCAATCACCAAATTTAATGAGCTTTTCCCAATCTTCATTCTTCTTAACCTCTCTTCAGTTTTTGACAGTATAAATCTCCTCTCCTTATACTTTTTTCTCTAGGTTTTTGACACTGTTCTCTCCTGGTTTTCCTCCTACCTGTCTGATTGCTCTTTACCTATTTTCCAGGATCTTCATTCAGGTCACTATTGCTGACAGTGGATGTCCCCCAAGGTTCTATTCTGAGACCTCTTCTCTTTTCCCTATATACTCTTTCACTCCACAATGTCATCACCTCCTATGGATTCAGTTATCATCTCTAAAAAGATGATTCTCAGATTTATCTAGCCTTAACTGCTCTCTTGACCTGTGGCCTCAAATCTCTAACTGCCTATTGACACTTTAAATGGCCACCACCCTGGTATAGATCCTCATCACCTCAGACCTGGACTATAGCAATAGCCTTCTGGTTGGTCTCCCTGCCTCAAGTCTCTTCCCATTCCAGGTCATCACTACTATTTAGCTCTGGTTTTTTGATCAGGAATGTTTGTAAGTCCTCTATTTCATTAAAGATTTCCCCCCCCCCGCCATCCCATGTAGTATTATACTCAGTTTTGTTGGTCAAGTTATTCTTGCCTGAGATCCTATATCCTTTATCTTCTAGGATATCTTATTTCAAGTTCTCAGTTAGCTCCTTTATCTTGGTAGCTGCTAAATCCTGTATAATTCTAACTACGGCTCCTTGGTACTTGAATTATTTCTTTCTGGCTGCTTGCAGTATTTTTTCTTTGACCAGGGAGCTATAGAGTTTAGGTAAGATATTCCTAGGAATTTTCATTTGGGGGCTTTCTTTTAGGAGGTGACAAGTGGATTTTTCCTATTTCCTGTTTGCCTTCTGGATCTAAGAGATCTTTAGGATTTCTTGAAATATGCTGTCTAGGCTCTTTTTTTATGTCCTGGCATTCATAGTCCAATGATTTCTAATTTTTTTCTTCTCAATATGTTTTCAGGTCAGTTGTTTTTACTATGAGATGCCTTACATTTTCTTCTATCTATTTTTTTTTCTCATTCTTTTGACTTGAATATTCCCTGTTGCCTTAATAGAGTCATTGGCTTTGATTTGGGCTATTCTAATTTTCAAGGAGTTTTTTGTTTTGGCAAGGTTTTGTATGCCTTCTTTTAAGCTGTTAATTCCCCTTCTAATTCTTTCTTCTATAGCTCTCACTTCTCATCTGATTTTTTCCTTGAGTGCTCTCATTTCATACATAAAAACATCTTTACTCCTTTGTTTATCTTACTTCGTCTCTTCCATGAATTCTAGTTGAGTTTATGCCCAAAGAGTGTTTTTCTCTGAGGCATTACTTGTAAATATTTTTGAGTCATTCTCTTCTTCTGTGTTTGTATGGTGAGCTTCCCTACCACAATAATAGCTCATTATGGTGGGGTTCTTTGTTTGTTTGCCCACTCTTCTAGCCTACTTCCTGTCTTCAGACTCGGTGTAATGGGTTGTCTTCTGCGAGACTTCTGTAGGGAAAATCTCATATGGTCCTGGTGCTACTTTTTTGAAATACCAATTGTTGTATTATTCTAGGATCTCAGGGACTCAGTGGGGACCTGTGAGCTTTCAGTGCTCCCCGAACGATCTGATCCAGTGTAAATTCTTTATGTTGCCCACTGGTCTAAGCTCTGCAAATTCTTGGCCTGGGTTTGGATCTGTGTAAGAATAAACTTCTACCAACTCAGCCCCCATCAGTCAGCTGGAAAGTTCTCTTGGTTCTGAGTGGCCGAATCGTAGGCTCCCTTTGGTCTAGGATTTCTACTTTGGTTATTCCCCTGCAAGGGATGTTCAAGGGAGGCTCTGCTCTGGGCCTGGAACCTGAGCTTCATAGCTGTTGTTGCTGTTGACTTCTGAACTTCCTTCTTTCTTCATAAACACTCCAGAGCCTCATTAACTGGTAATGCCACTCCCCTGGAATGCCACTCCCCTTTCAAGATCCTCTTCTCATTCTGTCCTGATCTATGACTTGGAACTAGGTAAGGAGCTACAAACCTGTCAATTGATGAGCAGCTAGGTGGCACAGTGGATAGAGATCCAGTCTTGGAGTCAGGAGTACCTGAGTTCAAATCTAGCCTCAGACACTTGACACTAGCTGTGTGACCCTGGGCAAGTCACTCAACCCTGATTGCCTCACCAAAAAAAATAAATAAAAGCT